GTTTTCTCTTCAATCGGTTGTTTTAGTTCCGAAACATCAATCTTGCCGAGGACTTTGGAGGCGTCGAGATTCTCTTCGAGGGTTCCGGGCGGATGAATCATTTCGAATTCCTCGGTAGCGTCAACGTTACCGGCGAGACTGAGAACGATTTTGGATCCGCCAGGGTGATTGGGGAGAAACTCCGTGACATCGTAGACGGTGGAATTGATGCATACCCAGCAGGATTCTGGTGTATTGTGGGATGAGACTATGTGTTGCATGTGTTAGTTTGACGGAATGCATTCTCGAAACGGGTGAAATGAGACGAAATAGATTAAAGCAGAGATAATTGACTAAGGAAACATTGAACAGGAATCAAAGACAGTAGAGATGAGTGGAAGAAATGACTATACCTTCTGAACCCTTAAATGTCTTCGTCATGTTGACACAACCTCGAGGTCTTTTCTACAACAGTCGCACAATAACAAATAGATGCAATCCTTCTATCCTCAAATATCCCGTATACCTATGGAAAAATAAACAAATTACACAATATAATAACAATGAATGAAATATAGGTCGGTCGGTATGCACAATCCAATCACTGGGACACCAGACACAATTAATATAATCCAAGATGAAATAACAGAATCAAGCTTCACTTGCAGAAAGAAGCATTCCCCAGCGATTTCGGCCCTCTTTAAACCGGAAGATATCATGCAGTCCCCATAAATCTGGGGTTCAACGGAGAAAAGGTAAATAGTGACGATGTGGACTCCACTTTTTTCCTCCATCGTTACGGAGTACATGATGGAGAGCGAATCATGGACTGCGATTGGTAATCCCGTTCATGTACGAGATATGAGTTAACAAGATATCAACTTGGGGAGACGCGAAGGTTTGTCTGTTTCTAGGTACTAGGTATACATGGTGTCTTGATGAATGGTGATGTGATATGATATTAACAAGAGTAATACAAGAGAGAAATTATAACCTACAGTACCTACCTCGCCTGGGTACGTACCCAAGTATATCTGTCTATCTTGAAGAACTCAGAAACGGTAAAACTAAGGTGTGAAGAATAGAAACGTCCTCCTCCCTCCACTTATGTTTGATCATGTATTACAATTATTACTTAGTGTAATATATTATATACTACACCAATATATCATTTATGAATTATATCTAGACGATGCAAATGATCTTTCCGGTCTCCCAAGTAGCGGTGAATGAAGTTGGTTCATGGGTGAGAAAGAAACATTAGAGAGCATGGAATAAAAGCTATCAAATTATTTCACAAATCATTTCATTCTAGAAAAGGAAAACGTCGACATCTATGGTTATAGTAAAAGGGTATCACAGTCTTCCTTCGCTTCGCTAACTACCTAGCAATCCTAATTTATCTATCATACAAGTAATGGTATCATTCTCCATCGTTGACCTCGCGCAGCGTCTTCACCACCCCAAAATCCCAATCCATCACATTCCAATCCATTGTACTTCTATAACCGTCAAATGTGGATCGTGAAATCTTGTGTAGGCAAGTTTCGACCATACCGTTTAAACTCCTTCAATGCTCCATTCACACTGTATAATTTCAATAGCACAAAAAAAATCCATTCGCTAAAAGACATCGCGCGTTTCAAAATGGCGTGGCAAAGAAAGAAAAAAACGCCTACAAACCATGCTGTGTATAATTGAAGTCGAACGATAAAACACCAAAACACATTTACAAGAGCTTCAGTAACCCAAGAGCTTTGATTTGATGAGAGGATTTATGGTCTCCATGGCTTCTTGGGATTACCTTTGCTATCAGTTGTAGATGTGCTGCTGCCTCTGTTTGGTGCGGGACTATCCCTGCCAGCCATTTCCGAGTTTCTGCCTCGTGGGGTGGGAAGAAGGCTTATCCTTCTGCTGGTAGCTAACGAGCTAGCAGGTCTTCGAACTACCGGGCTGCTAGCTCTGGCTTCATATGAATATGAAGGTTGCATCGAGGAGCGACGGTTATTGCCTGTCAGATTTGACATGGAAGACTTGCTAGCCAGAACACGGGGACGGGAAGGTGAATTGACTGATAGGGTATGTTGAGAGTATGGCCCAGGGGTAGAGAGGTCACGTCGTACTGTTCGTGAAGCCGGTCTATTGCCCGAAGGAGTCGTAGGTTCTCGTATCACTGGAGAGGCTGTATTTCCGCGACCCAGTGGGCTTCGTAATGGTATCTTGGAATCAGATGTATTGGACCTAGTAGACCGATTTGATTGGGTGGAACTTGGTGTTGTGACACTAAGAGGTTTGAAACCATGGCCAATAAGTATATCACTGGTATTAGTGCTGGTATTCCATCGAGGTCGATTGTCACTGGGTGTATTGGAAGGTCGGGGGAGTCGACCAGTTGGGGTTGCAGAGCTTTGTCGGGGAGGGATAGGGGACAGGGAAGCTCGACTAAAAGATCGAGGAGGTTGTCCGACACTTAAATTTCTTCTTGATCCAGCCACACTACTTCTGCCATTGGAACGTATCTTTCCATTCCTTGCGGGTGTTGTTGGGTCAAGTTTACTACTTAAATTTGACATAATCACTGAGGATGCTGGCGAACTTCCTGGTGTGTCATTGTTCAAGCTTCCAATGGTTGAGCGATCATTCGAAACCATACTCGAAATTGAATCTCTGAGCTGCTGGTTTCTGCGATCTGACTGGAGTTCTTCAAGTGTTGTGTCCAATTCATTCATCTGATCTTTCAACGAATCCCACCTCTGTTGCATATCTGAGTGTAATCTCAAGATTTCACCATTGACTGTGAGGCGATCCTTTACTCCTTTCTCGATGATTGATAGAACTCTTTCGATGGCTGGACCGTAGTGCATCTTCTTCGCTTCGTAACTTTCGATCTTCTTGCCCATTGTAGCAGGGTTGTTTAGATGGACCCCAGTATCAAGAGACTCCTTCAACTTGGCACAGCTTCTTTCGACAGATTCATACATTTTCTGTGCTTGTCGACCCGCACCGCGGAAGACGAGAACCCAACGATCTTCGCCAAGTTCCCTTCGTAATGATTCAGCATCTTTCTCAAGAGAGTTCCAACTTTTCTCCAAACCACCTCGTCGACTTTCTAGCTCGTCGCAGGCCGTAGGAAATATCGCTTCGGCTCTAGCATGAAACGTAGATAATCTCATAGGTAAGAAGTCCAAAGAAGCTCTCAGGGGCTGCATTCTTGCAAACAATGCTAGGAGGCTTGAATCGTCTTGCGCCATTATCGGTGTAACTGGCGAGTTAGGGCTCAGAGGAAAGGCTGCTGAAGATGTCATACCAAATCTATTATTGGCCTGTAACCTCGACTTAGACGAGGGCGTTTCTTCTACAATTGTCTCGAGCTCTTTGATATCAACTCCGTCGTTGTCGGCTTCTGCCAAGGACTTGTGTCGCTTCTCCTCCATTTCAAAAACGAGTCGCGCCAGAATATCCACTTCATTGCCTATATCTCCCAAAACTGTATTCCATAATTCCTCCCATTCCATGGCAATCTCAACCGAGTTTTTCACAGCCTTGAGATTTCTCCTTATCTTTTCCCATTCCTCAAGGATGCTCTCTACCTGTAGTACGACCTTTTGAAGTTCATCTGCAGGAACCGTAGCAATATCCGGGCGTTCTTGTAAAGACTCGATGGCTGACACGTAAACATTAATTAATTTTTCGAAGCGTGTAATCGCATTATCCACTTCCTCTAACCCTTCTCTACCGCCAGCTGCTGCCCATTCAACATCATCCTCTCCATCTAGGCCAGAGACAACATCTGATGCTTTTGATATCCAACTTCTAATTTGTTCTGCGGCTCCCATTAATGCCTTTGAGGCAGATTTTGAGCTGGGAATTGCGGAAATTTTCGTTGACAACGAGGCTGCATCTGGTAGTTGCAAAGACGTCAATTGAGCAAGTTGACTTGCAAAAGACGCTCGCGACAACGTGTAAATTGAGCCCGCCCGTTGATGACCAAAGGGATTGAAGTAGGATGAAACGTCATTTGAAGACTCGCTGGGTGTTGTCGCAGTTGGCGGAGTATCTTTAGCTATGGGAGGTGGAGGTGTCTCGTCTTCGTGAATAGGAGGTGGAGGTGTTTCGTCTTTGTGGATAGGAGGTGGAGGTATTTCAATCTCTTCTACAGGAGGTATCGTTCGTTCGATGTGCGCCTGCTTTATATCTGCCATTGTTTTCGTGCCATTTCCATTTGTATGTTCTGGTAAGCGATACTTCTGCGAATCCATTCCTATAAGGTCAACATTTGTTGTCATGTCCTGATGACCAAAGTTATCAAGCGAAGGCGTGGACTGAGTGGCACTGTCAAGTACTCGCGTGTCACTAATGTTAATCTCTCGAAGGTTGGTCTCTTTAAAGCTACCTCCAGTTACTTGAGGAGTCAAGAGACCAATGCTGCCACTCCAGGCTCGACCTCGTCGGTGAATATGCGAACTCGTAGAATTAGCGCGGTGGAGGTGATCAAGTTGGCGAATTTGATCTTCAGGAATGCGGCCAATTCGGTCAACTGGTGACGTTGTCGTTGCTGAATTTGGATCGGGATCTTTTCCAAAACCTAACGCTGCAAGTCGAGCAGCAAGACCGGGCGATGGTTTTCGCACAGTTCGTGGTTTTCGTTCGTGATCTTTATCTGGCGTTGAAGGTGTAGAATCGTCGGATTGCACGCCGGGACTCGAAATATATTCCGACCGGGGTCGCAAAAATGTATCGGATCGCGAAAGCGCGTCTTTAAGCACTGTCATTTGAGTGAATTTGGCAATCTATCTTTGGGAATTCATGGATTTTCAAAGGCGCAAAAGCGACTATGGAATATCTCATCTCATTACGTTGAAGGAGATGGAGGTAATGTCCAGGTGGCCGTTTGATAAAGATAGTTCAGAATAACAAAGTTGGGTTTGGGGTTGAGTTTCTGGTACTGTCAAAGCAAAACCGTTAAGTTTAAAGGGGATCCACGGCCTAGCCTCGAAGCTTTCTTATTAAATGCGAAATGAATGAGGTCTTATCAATTTTGGTTTGGTAACAAGGTCCCGGTGTGGTACGGTAACATATTTTATTGGAGAGAGACGTCTAAAAGAGGAGAAGAGGAGAAGAGGAGAAAGGGAAAAGGAGAAGGAGAAGGAGGTGAAGAAGAGGGAGACGGAGAGGGAGAGGGACAAGAAGAAGAAGAAGAAGGAAGAGACAATTTCAATAATGAATGATGATATGATAATTTCACGAACAATAACTTGTCACAATCTTCAATTGAATGCCATGGAATGGATTGAAATCATTGAATCAATCCAAAGAGATTGTGAATTCGAGAGGAGTTACATTACAGTATTTAGGTGTTTGAGGTTTAGGAACTGATTGCTGGTAAGAATGTTTCGCGACATTCCTCTCATTTCAACTGGATACGTATTCAGGACCAATACCTCCAATTACAAGCATAGTAATTATTAATGAGTACCTAGGTACTTAATAAAGTCGATGAAGTTGTTGTACAAAGCGAAAGCGATTGGGGAGAACATCAAGATTGATTTATATTGATTGGATGAGAAACTTCTGGGTCATCCATCTTTCTTTTCCTTACCCACCTACGATACCTAGGTAGGTACTTTTGAAATACTCAATTATTGATGTAGGACTGATGAGTGGATTCTGTGCCTACTAGGTACCTAGATACTTATTACACAGTAAGTACTTGATGAATACCAGTTGCTATCTGTCGATTCATCTATTCATCGTCCACCCAGTGACCCAACTGATTTAACATGTGGGATTCACGAATAGCCTCATTCCATTCCTGTAACTGGGATAGCCTTGCTCTCTTTTATATGAAACGTGAGAACCAGATAGAATGAGGCATCATAATCATATGATGACTAAATTAAGAGAGTTACCTAGTAATAACATTACGGAATACAAAGTTGCTAGCTTCAATCTTTTGTATCAACGAGCGTTTTCGAATTACGGAGGGGGCAGGGAAAGGTTCCAATCGACTCAATAGTATAACCCTTCAGTAGGTACCGGTATGTAGTCATTTACTCTCGAATCACATGATCGTGAAACACAATACAATTACCTACCTACCTAGTAGTAATCTTCTTCAACTCTCCTCGACGCCCATCGGTCCTGATCATTATCAACATGATGAGTAGCGAGGATGGCGAGGATGAATCGGGTCCTTTTTGCTGCATTCGGGATATCTCTGCATTGCATCAGTATGCATTTAAGGGATACCTAGGTAGTAGGTAGTCAATCAGACATCGGACATCAGACATCAGACATCGGACATCAGACAATCACTTTGCAGACCACCGGTGGACTTGTATATCCCAGCAGTCGGAACATCTTCGGTTTCTTGACTTCTTTGCCTTGCAGCGCAGCTTCTATTCTTGTACGATGCACAGCTTCTTAAGGCGGTGGAATCACTTTCACTCGAAGTTCGAGGTTCAAATGCCAATAACAAGTACCTGCAGAACGAACATGCGAAACTGTATACCCATTATGTTTCTTTCGGTCATCAAATACCAAATGTCCTGGACATCTCAAAAAAATGGTTGATTGGAGATAGGTATTGTATAGAATTCAAGACAAATCATGACATTTGACAGGTAACAATTGTTGGTACTACACACCTGATCTGTTGTATCTAGAATTGGTTTGAAAAGATACCTAGGTGGCTCGGTGGATAGGTAGGTACAGAGTAGAGAGAGACCTACTCCGTACCGTACACGAGGTTATCCCCCATGCTCCTTCCTACCCCAGCTTTCTCGTTCCCCACGTCTTCCCACCTTCCTGTAGTTCAGCATATTACTTACTCTATTACTTTATTACTACCTACACCATACCATAATTTCCTGGAGGTCGTGTGTCTGCATTCTATATTCTATCCATTGAGCTTTAAGCAATTCTAAATGCTATTTACAGCCAAGATTTCATATAGCAATGATACTGGTCACACAAGAATATCGAAACTTCCCTTGAATTTTCAATGTCAAGTCCTAGGTAATCGATCTCACCGCCAAAGTTAATACTTAAAACACAAGGCACTGTGTCTGTCCAATCGAATTTGGCTGACGTGCAATCATTAGGTCTTCTGCAATTGAGCAGAACCATATTGGTAGGTGTATATTTGTGAAGTTCACAGCTTCCTACCCTGGCTGCTCGACAGCGTAAATTCATACAGCGCTTGATTTGTTGTCAAGTCGCTTCTCACCATACCCTTCATTTCAGCACCTAACATAACTACTCAGACGACGAAATTAACCATGCGAGCTTTTCCAACTCCCTTGGAAAAATACGTTTTCGTCATGGCTCCAGTGCCCGTTACGATTCCAATTTCCAAAATCAAGTGTGGGTGAAATTACCTGGAAAAAGTAAGCAGAAGTTGAATTGTCACCCCAATGATCCTTATTCACACGTACAATCATTTAGTTGGTTCTGACGACTTTATCGATGAGTCACCCGAATTAGACGAAATATATACAGTGATAGCAAGACGTGAAAGCACAACTACATCAGATTTGACTGCCAATTGGAGTGAAACTCTCCACCCAATTATCTCCACAGGGTTAATCGAGCGGCGGCCATCTGCTACCTCTCGTACTGAAGCTTTTAGAAAGTCTATTTCGAAAGATCAGGAAAGATCCCCGGTGAAGAGGCGAAAGGTAGATGATGACAATTCGTCTGCTTCAAGCAAGCGTTCAGCTGTCAGATCCTACCCAAGAAGACCTGCAAAGAGCGATGGATATCCCACTGGATCAAATACTTCTGGTGAAATGGTGCATCGGCGACCCGTTGATTATGACTTATCTGCAATCTTCCCTCGAGAACTGAATGTCCAAAATGAAGTTGTGGATGACCTATCTCAGTCAGAAATACAGCAGGCTTGCCTTTTGAGATATTTTACAGATGAGCTAGCTGGTTGGGTACGTACAGCCCTCAAATAAAACTCTCCCTTGCTCATACTTATTACTATTTTCAGTTTGACCTCTGTGACCCGGAGCGCCATTTTGCTTTAGTAGTTCCACAAAGGGCGAAACATTGTCCCGCACTTCTCAATGCTATATACACAGCATCTGCGAGATACCTTAGCCGGCTTGAACGGTATAGGAGTAATGGCATGGTTGAATATAACGGAAATCCGTTGCCCAACTTACATATGGAGACTGCTGCTGAATATCACAGCAAGTGTACAGAGCATCTTGTGTCTGTATCAGATAATCTTGATGTCTTGTATGACGAAAACCTACTGGTCGCTTCTGTGATATTAAGATTTTATGAGGAAATTGATGGTTTGCTTTTCCTATCCAACGAAATTAGATCACTTTGACTAACCATGTATATTGTTTTGTAGCACCTTTGAGCGGGGGAGACGGGGCTCCGAAAGGAACTCAAGTATTTCTCACAGCTCAAGCATCAGGAGGTCTTGACAGTAGCCTTCGTAGAGCTGCCTTTCGTGTCGCATACAGACAAGAAGTTCACATGGCATTTCTTAGACAAAGACCTTTTCACATGCCTCTACAGTATCACGAATATCGATCCCTCGAATATGCGGATGATTTTACATGGGCCTATCGAACAATTGTCCATTGCGCTGATGTATTACAATACTGCTACGGCCTGGGCAGTAAATCCAATGGCGACTATGACATGTTAGTTCAGTATCACGAAGGTTGGGAAAGCTTACGTCCACAATCATTCGATGCTTTATACGATAGAGCTGCTGCTGTGAATTCCAGGCGGGCCCTACCTGAGATATGGTATTTATCTGATTGCCATGGTAAGTGGTTCCTGATAACTTGCAATAATGCGATGCTCATCAAATGTAATAGTCACTGCACATCAACACATGGATATCTCTCGAATCCTACTCACAACTTACGATCCACGAATACCTAGGTTGGGACCAGGCCTCAGAGCGGTTAAACAAGACATCGAAGTATTGTTTTCTCATGTATAACTTTGAGTGCTGTACTGATTTTGATCCTCTAGGCACAGATAAACACGATCGTTAAACGTCTTTGTGGCGTAGCAATATCGAACCATAAGTCTCCCTCCGCGATGAACATAGCGTATATGGCTATCTCTATGTGTAGGTCTTCGTTCTCGTCATCAGGTTTGGAATCCAATTAATCACATCCCCTATACAGGCGGCGAACAGTTTACAGACATCGAGGACCGAGGGTGTGTTCTCGAAGTATTGAAATACACTGAGCAACAACATGCATTGCCAACAACACATATTCGTAATAGGTTGATAGAAGCTTGGGAATGCTCGGGATATGTGCCAGTGAACCATGGCCAAGAGGCTATAGAAGGCTACATGGATATCATTGATGAATGATTGTTACAACAGCGCACGGTAGAATATAGATTTGCGTCGGGGTTCCAGAAACTCAAGATATTACAGGTTACTATGGGCGAAACCAGCGTTAACTCCAATAAAAGTTATACTAGCCTTTATGTCTAATACATCCTTCGAAGCCAGTTAAACATTTTCAAATTTTAATGCATTGCTACTACCTACCTACGTAGTCTACCTAGCACCTACTAGGTGGGTAGCAAGTGAAAGACTCTCAATCGCAGTGAGGATAAACAGCTCACGACTTGGATATGCACACCGAATGCAAGGTCTTCTGGGTAGAACATTAGATAAGTACTTTCATCATTCATAGGAGGTATGACGAATACATTGATCACGCAATAGGCAAGGAAAAAGACAGGTATTAGGGAGGTATCCATCAAGGTGTTGATAGTGAGTGACACAAACTTCAAAGGTACCCATCAAGGTGTCAGTTACTAGGTGCTTTTTGCTTCTAAAGGATTATAAAGTTAGACACATCGACTCTATATAATCCTCTTCTCTTATCAAAATTCAAATAAACTTTTTTCTTTTCCGTCTTTGAACCTCGACCCAAGCCATCGATTGTTTGCTATTCGATTCCAGCGCAAATTTTATGTTTCATCGATTATTTTACATACGACCTCTCGTCCAACTAGGTACTTAAGAAGTGAGACTTTGGGTGGGAAGGGCAAGCTTGATCTGATTCTAATTCCTCACGCTGAGATACACTTCGCTTTCGGTACGACTAAGAGGTTTGTTTCTAGAACTCATCTCGTCCGGACCATGCAATCATCTCGAAGATGCTTCAACCAAGACCCATCCACGCACTTGCTCATTTTGGGGCGGCTGTTCATTGCGAAACAAAGAACAGCTTCGCATTATGCTATTACGACACAAAAAATATGGTCACATATAAAACGAATTTCGTTACGACTAAGCAAGTCAAAAAGTTACTTGAACGAATGTGATGAATTTATCTTAAATCGACAACCAAAAACAAGTGGACCCTGCTTCAACCCCCGTCCTTTGCAAACAACACAATTATGTCTCGTCGACGAGCGACCAAGAAGATAGCATACATCCACTGTCTCATCCCCAGGAAATATAACATGCAGAAACTCCTCTCAATGCAAGAATCAATCACTATTCCAACTCATCACATAGTGTGCTGGTCGTCTCACTCGTGGTCTTCGGTCATCGCTGTCTTGGTCGAGATGGCTGGTGATATGATGGAACGACGAGGTGAATACTTATGAGGTTATGTGAGGAGAGGTCGAGAGATGATGCCATTAGTGCTACAGTGGTGTCTGTTAATACCTGGTGCCTGCCCAGCGGCAAGGAAGAAATTCGCGTACCTTGTCTTTGCAGCAGCTGCAGGTGCTTGAGCAACCTTCACTGGCAGCATGAGTGCAGCAAGAGCATGGAGACATGATGAATATTGGTATGTTGTTTGCGGAGTGTGTCGGTTGGTTTTATCGTGGTGATTTGTGTGGATGTTCGTTTGATTGATTGTATTGATGTATTGCTGATGAAAGAATACCAAAAATAAGAGGAAGTAAAGCAGATACTTATACTCACAGATCGAAGCTATAAACTTCAAAGATTGGCCAGCGGGAGCTTGCAAAAACAAGCTAGAGTGCGAGGCATAGAATACAACCGGCGAGTGACCTACGCTTCCAGGTTTCATCCTGACGAATTGAGAAAGGAGGGGTCCCCAAACTAAAGTTAGATGCCATGAATTACACAACAGGCGGAACAAGAGGCAAGTGATCAACCATCATTCGATAACGATTACTCGACGGCGTGGGTGTCCTTCCCCGGAGATCTTGGTCTCACGTTCGTACTTTGCTTTTTCGAGTAACCCGAGAGCATGAATTCATTGACAGTGGGAGGGTGTGGTAAGATATTCTTACACGATTATTGCGCCGATCTTAAGCAGCATGGCCTCACCTGAGGTGACACGACGTCGGGAAATTTCAAGATAGATTCAATGATGCAGCTTGCTCGAAGAAGGACAATCAGTCGCGGCAAAACAGCAACCCGGATAAAGTCACGGAGAGTTTCTCGGATACACTGATGTCAATACGGTACTAGTTCAACACTATACTTCTAAGATAATGTTTGAAGGCAATGTGACTTATCCATTCTTGGGCAGAGATGGCAAGGCTGAGACACTCTGGACAAATGGATGCAATGATAAGATGGAAGATAAGAAGGCTTTAAAGACGTGGCATTACCTTTATGGAGGCTTGAGTCGCGAAGGAATAGAGGTTCAGCGTTTGCGCTGTATGCCAATGTAAGTGTGGTAGGGAAAGCCTTAGAGTCTTGAGCTGACGAATCCTTGGACTTGGTACTGGGATGGGATCAAGCTGGGAGATTGTAGCCCACTCACAAGGCCACGAGGAAACTTTCCCGCCCGCGGAAGAAGGCTTGTGATACTTTGATGATAAGATAAACTAATATAGAATCATAACAAATGGAAAGGAATACAATTGGTAAGTCGTGCAATGAGGATTTACCTGCGCTTACCCCGCATTCATCGCAAGGGGAATAAGTAGTGGGGTAGATATTTATCGAGAGTTTCTCATGTCACCATCACAAAGATCAACATTTTGGAAGCAGATTACGATGAAATATTTGGAGTCAAGATGAAGATTGATTTGATATCAAAGCAAGTTTGAGAACTCCATTCCCTTTCCGTTTCCTTTCCGCAAGAAACCCAGATATCAAAAGCTTTCCATTCCCCCAAGTTTTGCTGCATCAAGTCCAACCCAACGACAATCTTTCTGTATCCATTGCGTACCCGGCTAAATAGAAAAGCGTCCGCCCACAAGATCAAGATGTTTTGTTCGCATCGAAGAGGAAGATTTTCAATAGGTAATTCGAGGTCATTTCGAGAGAGATGATAAGGTGTTTAGTGAACGGAATTGAGTATCATGTTGAAGAATCTATTTGCAGGTGCAGTTGTCCTTTGGGCATTGGCCTATGAATATGATTAGCACGAATTCTCAACCAGCTCAAGCAATCCGAATAATGTGATACAAAGACCGAAAGTGAGATAGATACATACAGGACTCGCCGCAGTTGCATCCGTGTTCTTCGGGCATCTTGATAGATTTGAGGTGGTGGTAATTAAAGATTTGGGGTTTTTGAAGATTTGTTGATTCGTTGATATGAAGTCGTAGGTAGATGGACTTATTTCTTTCGTGGTTGTGGTTGTGGTTGTGGTTGTAAGACTTTACTGGCAAGAAGTTGCACTCTTAAGTATCTCCAGGATGGAATCGGAATCGCTTGCATTCACTCCGTTTCTCCCATGCCTTCTCATCTGGACCAACCATATCCATTCACACTGCGCTCTTTGTGCGTCTTTTTTTCGATTATTCAATGGAGCAAGGCGCATGCGTGCGGTGTTATTGCTTTACCCCACCACACCGCACAAACCGCTCACCCAACCATGTAGCATCTGACTCTTCCGCGCCCCCCTCCTTCACCCAATTCAGTGGATGCATCATAATACGACCCCGCTATCGTACACGACCTCGTAGGTAATAGCAAGTTGATAGGTAATACATTCACCCGGATATCGTATAAAAGTTTGTGTGAGACGGTGATTCTGGGAATGGGTGGTTGATATTTACAGCACGAGATGCGTCTAATGAGACACCGCACCCCACCTCCTGAAACTCTTTCCGTTTCGCTAATCCTTGTGTGAGCGCATCTGGGTATGGCTCGTATGGGGCCGACTAGATGATTTCGGGTGGTGTTAGTGGGGGAAGTGGAAGGAAGAAGGGGAAGGGTCCGAGGATGGATGGATTGATTCATTCTTTTTCGTTCTGTTGCGCATAGGTAACGCACATGCTAATTACCTACTGTATTCATTTGGTTGAGCGAAATGGGAATGGAAATGGAAATTGACTGGGGTGGTGAATTGGGGATTGATATCGTAGATTTGAGGATTGTATTCACATGCGAGACATGCTTTGATGCATGCGAGCTTTACGTGTATGTTGTTGTAGCAATAGCAATAGCATTAGCATTAGCATTAGCAATAGCATTATCTCGCAACTAGAGATTTATTAACCTTGAGGATTACTCCTAGTAGTAGATATCTATCTAGCCTTATATTACATACCTACATACCGTGATAACAAGTGATAATATGATATCTGATGTGAATACTATTCAACTTACTTATGTCCTTACCTACCTATCTACTTACTTCCTTACCTCAACAAGGTTACCGCGGTACGGTACAAAGTACAAAGTACAAAGTACATACATACGAAGTACGTATGTAAGTATGTACACAGCATGATGAAAAGAAAGTTTGCAAATGTGAGGTTACGTATGGTATGGTATGATATGATATGATATGATATGGACGGGGTAGTAAGTTGTAACATGATTCATTTCGTGCATGAAGGATCGTACGGCGTGGGAGGGAGGCAGGGAGGGAGTACAGCGTTTGGGTCGAGGGGACGAATGGGAAGGGATGGATGGATGGTGTGGGTGGACGGGGGGGATGTGTAGATTGGTTTCTTAGATGGGAGATGGATGGGGAGATATCTAGATGGGGAGATAGGGAGATAGATAGATAGATAGATAGATATTCTTTAGGTTGAGAATCTGCTTGCTTATCGAGGAAACCCTGAGGGTGTAGGTACAGTAGATTAGTATTGCATTGGATTGTATTGTACCTACGTATGGAATGGAAGTTATCTTAATCGAGAGTTTTCTTTTCTTTCTTTTCTTTTCTTTCTTTTCTTTTCTCCTGGGAGGGGATCAACTACCATATCATACCATACCATACCATACCATACCATATCGTAGAATAACTACCTAAGTACATGTATATATCGCGAATCAAAGCAAGAACAGAACATGGATTAATTAACCTATCCATGCAGCAGCTGGCGAGCTTACTCCTCTAGTTTTACCATGCATGCAGATACTACGAGTTACTATCATGAATTCGTAGCGTGTGCTTGAGTCAGTCAGGACTTTTTGTTTCCTCGTTGTAGTGTAGTTGTATTTACTGTATATACGCACTTGAGATACCTGGGTGTGAATTTTGAAGGGGGGTGTTGTATTTGTTGTTGGATACCTAAGTGAGGTTGTGGTGTTTTTCTTGTATAGAAACTTGTTTTGTTTTGTGCTTTTTTGTTGGAAGGGTTGTAGGTAGTTGGAGGGTTGTGTGGTGTGGTGTGCTGTGGTGTCTCGGTGTGATGTTGTCAGTGAAACTAGGTATCTGAATGTGGTTGGTTTGGCTGGATCATGTGATGTGGTGGTGTTGATTGATGTGTGTCTTGATGATCGGTGGTACGTGGAGGATGGATATAGGGACGATGGGGTGTGAGGGGTTGATGTTTTGTTTGCTTTTTTGTGTTGTTGTTGTTTGTTTTTTCTTTTGGTTTTATTTCTTTTCTTTCTTTTTTCTTCTCCTCCTAAAGTTAGGATGTAAGGTCTATACTAAGACATAGCACAAGTGTGACTGTGTGTATAATGTATATATAACCTCGAAGCATCTCAATGGAATTCGAGATCAGTGGCGTAGTTGTGGTTGTAGTATTCATGGGGAGAGAGATGGAAAGACTTTATGTGGTGATTTTGATGATTTCGATGATTTCGATGATAGAGTATATCGGAATCAAAAGTTATTAATACATACCTAGTACCTCAAATTATCATTTTCCGCTCCTCTTCCCTTCGTCGAATAGTCAGCAAAGCAGTATCTAAGAACTCATTCCTAGGTATTGCTTGATATGTTATATTTGCAGTATGCATCTCAGACCCTGTGAGCCTGTCAGAGAATCACATCTACTAGTTTGGATCATACTCAGAATGAAGGTAAATATCGTTCGCATCTCAAGTCATGTCACTCCAATATCACCGGTTTGTGTATCCGGAAGTAATTCCACGATACAGCGATTTTAATAGTTAGGTTCATATACGCAGGATGTCAAGTCTCTTTGCTGGTACTGGCTTCTCTTCTTTCCAGCTATTCTTTTACTCTCCCTGTCTTCCTTTTCTCTCCCCGAAACCCTGCGTCGCCGATACTATCCAATTCCATCATATCATAGGTATCTCCTGAAACTCTTTTTTCTTCTATATATGACTATAGTCTGAAGAGAATGGAAATACTGAGTCTATTCTATCAGAAGACAAACTTCTAATTGTAAAATAGAGTAGTTGAATGACAAGATAATCATCCTTAGCAAATCGACTCGCAAACCCGATTCGCGTAACACGAAAAGTGATTATATTATCGCACAACAACAGATCTGTCACATACGACCATAGACTGAAGAGAATTGGGCATCCCGTCCGCTCTGCCATACACAAGCTTCAGATCGGTGGATTAGTAGTTGGGTGGGTGACCACCAGCGAATCCCCACTGTTGTATGTTTTTGACATTCTTTTTGGGTTTTGTTGACTCGGTGGAAAGTAGTTTAAGGGCAGTGGTGCTGTGAGTGATAGGTATGGAGGGAAGACTTGAAGGAGGCTTTGGAGATGATGTGCTTTAGTGTCTTGTGAGTGAGAATTTTGGAAACAGAATGAAGAGCGACGTATGTGTTTGAACACCACTTGGTTCTTCGTCGTGGAGCATATTCGTGTTTGTTAATGAACTGTGTAACGTAACAAAGTAGTACAAATACACTTATTTTTTGACTGTCGAGTAGATGATGTGCGGAAAGTAATGCTATCAGATTAGCAAGTTATCAATCACTCTATGGGATATATCAGGGGAGGAGCAAAGCGAGAATCCTCGAAATTGGGGAGGACATCGGGAGAGTTGATCGAGACTTGAAGTTGTGGCGCTTATCTTTTTCAACTACCCTCATTTCATTTGAATCAGAGAGTGACTTTCTGCTGTTTAGAGATTGTGATTGAAAAGCGACTTTTGTTTTTATTTTGTTTTAAAGAGAGTGTTGTGTTGATCGTATAAGTTTAGCGATTTCCAGATACCACATTCCAAGCGGGCTTGATACATATTTACATGATGGACATGTTCGTGACGCAGTCGTACATACATCTAATATATCAAGACTCATGAGGAGCGAAAAACTGATCTTGGTGGGAGTACATGAAGAAACGGGTTCGCAAATCTAGTTGGTTTAGAGGGCATGGTCATATTACCTTTCTAGTGGCCGTACGCGATTTCCTGGCGCTTTCTTCGTCTGGTTGGGATAATACTCGTTGGCGGTTATTTCTCTTTATGGATGATGCTTATTCTATCATCTGGATTTGTGAGTGTGTAGTTGGGTTTCTCCTTATTTTTTGGGGGTATCATCTGATTTTCTATTGGAGATATGGATGCATTATCTTGCTTACAGTCTCGTATAATCTCGTACAATCATGCGTATTGACAGCTAGCAGTCGAAAAATTAAGATATTTCTTGAGATAAAACCTCGTGCGTACCTGCCGCGTGACTATGGTTTTAGAGGTTGAAAATCCAAAGGTGATGAGCTAAAAGAGAATGGAGAGGAAGAAGAATGTA